TAGTGAGCTGCTGGCATTACAGGGGCGAGCCAGCGATTGGGCTGCTGCGTCAATGAGTTTGCTTTTCTGGAGCCCCCTCCTCCCTGAGCCAAGGCAAAAAACGTGTGAGCCGGAGGCTAAAAAACTGGGAGCTGGCTCACACTCACTCGGCTTAGAGGGAACACTGCTTTTGACCATTCGGCTATGCTCCCTCTAAGCCGTGGAGTCTCGTGAGCAAAAATTCTGCTTTGTGAGCTACCGGCATGAAAGTTGTGAGCGAGCTGTCAGTCGGTTGGCTCTGGAGCCCTTCCTCCTGAGCCGAGACAAAAATGCATGAGCTGGAGGCTAGAAAACTGTGAGCTGGCTCACACTAACTCGGCTTAGAGGGGACACTGGCCATGACTCGCAATGTTCCCTCTCAGCTGAGATTGTGTGAGCTAGCTTCTTAGCCTCCGGCTCACACATTCTGGTCTCGGCTCAGGAAGGATGGGGCTCCAGAGCAAACTAATTTATGCAGCAGCCAAATCGCTCGCTCACAACTGCAATGCCAGCGGCTCACAAAGTAGAATCTCTGCGCACAAGACTCCACAGCTGAGAGGGAGCATTGGCTATGATGAGTCAAGTATTTCCAAGCATAATGAGGCCCCACTGCTGGACCTCCCGGTGGCCCCTGGTGTTTCTGGCCACCATGTGACAGAGTGTTGGACACTGGGTGGGCCGCGGGCCTGATCCAGCACGGCGTCTCTCTTATGTTCTTATGGTCTTCTTATGCCTACCACAGAAGAGATGCCGATTTCAGACATGTGCCCACTGCTTACCCGGAGCAGCCGCCTGCCAGGGGTGTCTTGGGGGGGACGACAGAATACAAAGCATCAAGCAGCCCGGGGGGGGAGGGGCTGCCTAAAAAACAACAACCCCAATACAGTAATAAAAACCCAGCGGGATCATAAAAACGCCTTGGGACATTTTGCAGCTTAAAATAAGTATCATGAAACCGTTCTCAGGATAGGAGGGGACTGGAGACACAATTTAGAGAGATCACCCCCCCTTAATTGAAATTAATCATCAGTGGGTGTGCTACTTATTCTCTTTGTTTAAAAAAATAAATTTTAAAAAAGTAAACTGTTATTGTGAAGCAATGGCATTGGGGTCCCAAACAAAATTGGAGTGGATGATGCCAGCCTCCAAGGGGTGGGACCTGGGGACCCCCCAGGATGGCAGCTCATTCCCAGACTCTGGAGATCAGTTCCCCTGGAGAAAATGGGTGCTTTGGAGGAGGGTGGGCTCTGTATGGCATTATAGCCCCCACTGAGGTCTCTGTCCTCCCCAGGCCCCACCCCAAAATCTCCTGGAATTTCCCAGCCTGAATCTGGCAACCCTACGAGTTCAATGTTCCCTCTAAGCTGCAGAGCCTTGTGAACAAAAATGCTACTTTGTGAGCCAGTGGCATTAAAGTTGTGAGCGGGCGATATGACTAATGCATAAATTAGTTTGCTCTGGAGCCCTCCTTCCTGAGCAAACACAAAAATGTGTGAGCCGGAGGCTAAAAACCTGTGAGCTAGCTCACACTCACTCAGCTGAGAGGGAACACTGCCTACGACCCCATCCCCCACCAGTGGCCGGGGGGGGGGGCTGGCGGCCCTAGAAGTTTGCCTGTTTGGAAATATCAGCAGTTCATTGATGTATTCATATATACCCTGCTTTTCTCCCCAAATTCAGACATAAAGCAGCTTACATCATTCTCCTCTCTTCCATTCTATCCTCACACCAACCCTGTGAAGTAGGCCAGGCTGAGAGAGGGTGTGACTAGCCCAAGGCCACCCAGGGGGTTTCCATAGCAAAGCTGAGGGATTCCGGTTTGGGCCTCCCAGACTCTAGTCCAAAACTCTAACCACAGCACCACACTGCCGCCCAGTTATCCATTTGCTTGCATTATTTTGATCCTGCTTTCCTCTGGCGGGAATGTAGATGGAACAGATGATTCGTAGGGGAATCTCTGAAATGCTGCTAAGTCTGCGCCTGACTGTTGTGGCCCCTCAGTTCCGCTCTTACTAACAAATGATAGCATAATGACATGAAGAGAGAAGCAGGCATTTATGAAGTTGTGTTCCTGGCTGCATTGACTGTAAGTCTCCAAACATGAGGCCCGTTGAAAATACTGACGAGAATTTTCATACTGTTACAGACAAAGCATAATGATCCCAAGGTCTATTTTGAACACAACCTGCAGAATGGGAATTGCATTTAATGGTGGTGGTGGGGGGACTGTTTGGCTTGGATATTTTCGTCTTAACTGAGCTAGTGAGTTGCAGAGAAATCCCCCACCAAGCTAGCAAAAAAACCCCAAACCTAACTCTGGGCCCTGTGAAATCCACGCACATAAAATTCTCAGCGATGCCCTCACCATCGCAATAAATCTTATTTTGTTTTGTATTTTTTTCATTAAAGAATAAGTGCTTTGCTCTCCAGTGCTGCAACATATCTCTCCTGGCCGGCTGGTTTTAAAGTGTAGCAAACTATTCTTTTTTGCTCTCTAGCCAAGATTCCTCACCCTTACCTCAGTACAACTGGTTATCCCACCGCCTGCCACAGAATTTGAACTGGTGCCAGAATACCTGTGCTAGCTATGAAAGGTATTTCTGCTAGGTGTGTCTTAAGCATTTTTTCGTTTGGGGGTCATGAGGAATGACGCCCACATACTCCTAACGAGTGACGAGCAAGGAGAAACAGGTGGCTGGTACTTATTCAGTCTGTGAGAGACGAACCTGAACTAAGACAAACCTGAACTGAGAAAATTAAAAACGTGGAAGAGATGATGAAAGAAAAATGCATTGAGTCAGGATGGTGTCGTGTTTAAAGTGTCAGAGTAGGACCTGGGATATCCTGGACTGAATCCCCCCTCACCTTCTCAGCCTAACCTACCTCACAAGGTTGTTGTGAGAATAACATGGAGGAGACGTAAATTAGGTAAGCCTCCTTTTGTCCCCACTGGGGAGAAAGGGAGGTTGTTAATGTTAATATTGCTCAGGATTCACTCCTTTTCTCCCCCCCCCATGGTAGAAATAGTTCTTTGGAGTTTCTGCCTGCCTTCCCCGCGCACTGTCAGCCTTTCGTGCCACATAACAAGGCTAGGAGCAGTTTGTGAAAGGGCATGGAGCATAACTGGTCCCAGTCAAAAATACCACTAGGGTGTGAGGAAAACCTCAGGTACGTCTTTGGATTACAGGCTTTTGAAAGTAGTTTTTAAGGTTCTGCCTTAGATACAGTAGTTGCTAGGCTCAAGTGGTGAAGACGCTGAACTGCAGGCTGCGGAAGGTCTGTAGTTCAGCAGTTCGAGACCCAAGTGTGCCGCATGATGGAGTGAGCTCCCGTCTCTGGCCCCAGTTCCTGCCAACCTAGCAGTTCGAAAGCAAGAAATTGCAAGTAGATAAATAGGTACCACTTTGGTGGGAAGGTAACAGCGTTCCGTGCGCCTTGGTGTTTAGTCATGCCGGCCACATGACCACGGAAATGTCTTCAGACAGCGCTGGCTCTTCGGCTTGGAAACGGAGATGAGCACCGCAACCCTAGAGTCGGATTCGACTGGCTTTCGAGCAAGGGAACCTTTACCTTTTTACGCTGGCTAATAGTAGAATGCTATGCTGAGTTACTTGCAGTCTAAACCCATTGATTTCAACAGGCTTACTCAAGTAACTCTGCCCAGGATTACTGTGTTAGAACAGACTAGATGTGGCAATAACAGCACTGGATATTCCTTTGTGTTTAACACAGAGGATTATAACTCAGTGTACAGATCCCATGCATTTCTCTCCTACACGGATTTAGATTGCTGTGGTCAGTCTTTAGTAGCTACCCAGATCAAAACTGCATTTTGACTCCTTCAGATTCCTATCTAGGTCTTTCACGAACTGGGCAAGGAGCCAAGGCAGGTACACATAAAACACTCTGTCCTGTCTGACATTAAGCTTCCTCAGAATAGCCCTGTCAATTATGCTTTGGTTGGTTTTTTCTACTGCTGTGTTTTAAATTAGCAGCCAACTTTTCTTTTTCAGTCTCATTTTGATTTACATCACAAAATAAATGAATAATTGAAGATACTTTAGACTTTGGTCCTGGTCACACGGGCTGGAAAATGCGGGGGGGAAGCGTGGCTGTTTGCCCCAGACCAAAATAATGCGCGGCCGCCCAATCACACATCCTGTCGAGGTCCCGTGGTTAGGGGATGAGGTGCCGATCAGACGGCTATCCTGCAGCGCGGCAAAGAAGCGGCGCAGCGCGATCACACCAGCAATCGCTAGGCACCGCTTCCATGGCAAATGGGTTTTTTTTACCAAAGTTTGTGCGCATGCACGGTTGGGCGCTTTTGCGCATCCTGCGGAGACGGGGGGGAAAACAACCCTTGTTTGCAACAGAACATCGGCGGGCGCCGGATGCCACGTAATTCCACCGGAAATGCGATCAGACGCCCGCCCTTGCCCCACAGTTTCCGGAAACCAGTACCTCGTAAGTACTAGTTTTTTACTCCGCATCTTCAGCGGAAAGCCACGGGTTAGCCACGGGAGCACTACGCTTCCCAGATGTTGCGGTGTGATCGCGCCCGGAAAATCCGCCTATCATCCGTATCTTTAGCGCGGCAACTGCTCCGTGTGAACGGGGCCTTTATTTCATATTGCATGCTGCTGTCCAAGTGCCGTACTCTGTCACCTTGTGGCTGACAGGTGAGCTGTCATTACAAAGTCCACAGGGTGGATACCTGGGCTATCAACAGACGTATAGGCCAGACCTTAGCAAATGTTTCCCACCTCCAGGAAATTCTTTATTTTCCAGCCCTTTGAACAACCTGCCCTCAGGAGAGGCCTGAGAACTTGTACAACTCCAGGGGTGGGCAGCATAGCTGCATCATCCGCTTTTCAAAAGGGCAACGAGAGGGGAACACTGGAGGAGGGGCATGTGACACATAAACAGGAGGGAAGCCATAAACCTGAGAAGAGGGACAAACAGCCTAGCAACAAAGGACTCACCTTGTGTCATGATCTGGGCTGTGCTACCAGAGGCCTACTAGGCCCAGAGAGCCTGGCTTAGCAGTAGGTGAGGCTGGGCCTACAACTCCCAGAAGCCCCTGGGAGGTTTTGGAGCCAAAATGGACCAATAGGAAAGAGGAGGGCTTGGGAATAAACGTTCTGGAGCAGCAGGAAGAGCTGTTCTTTCTTCCAGAGGGCAGAGCCAGAAGGAAGGCTGCTGCTGGGGAAAAACCCTCATCCTGGGGGAAGGGTGAGTAGAGTAAGGCCACTTGAGATAGTGAGCCAGGGACAGTATATATTTAGATGCGTTAGGGCACTTGATTTCTTTTCACCCACTTACTGTTATTATTCTGCATCTTGTTGTTTGACCTCCTATAAAATAAACCTTTTCCTTGTTTCACTCTGCCTGGTCCTCACGCCTGTTATTCGGCCTAAAGGGAGGTCTGAAGGTCTTGGGAGGGTGCTCTGGGCCTTCTCAAGGGAACCTAAATCCGCAGTGGTGGCAGCGTCAGGTAACACCCCACCTGAGCCGTGACACCTTGTTATATTATATAAACTCCAGAAAGCCATTACTGGCCAAGGATGGGTACAATTAGTCAAAGGATGATCATTATCCTTGTGCAACTGCAGCTGGACACCCCTATCACAAAACATTACTGAGAGAGCAAATTCATCTATATTCCACTGCCTTTTCTACTCCTAGTCCCAGTCTACCATTGTATCCTTCAAGCCTATGGAGCAGAGGAGCTGACAATCCATAGACAGAGAATTTAATCAAAAGCAAAATTGTGCTCCAAAACTTGCATTCCTTTTCGGCTGATCTCATACAGAACAGGAAGAGCTCAGCTACGCAAGATGTCAGGTGTTCCCCGAATAGAGTTCCGATCATTTCCCCCCTTAGCTGCATGGGGACAAGTTCTGACGAGGAACACAACCAAAGGGGGAGCCACAGCCGTTTTTCTTGCCTAAAATGGCTCCACGAAGATGATGTTTGTTTATTTTAGATATTTATACCCTACATTTCTCCCTAATGGGGACCCAAAGTATTGTGCAACAGTGCCCTCTCCGCCTCCATTTTGTCATCACAACAATCACCCTGTGAGATGGGTGAGGCTGAGAGGGCCTAGCCTAAGGTTACCCTGAAAACTTCCAAGGAAGGGAGGATTTGAACCCGAGTCTTCCAGATGCCCTAATCCAGAGGTCCCTGTGGCACCTGCCACCACCTTCCCTGGCGCCCCTCAAGTGTTTTTAGGAAGTGGGTGTGGCTGGGTGGGCTCTTGCCAAGCAGAGTTTCTGATTCAGATGGCTGTGTGGATTAAAATGATGTTGTTTTGGCAGTAGTCGCCACCACACTGTTGGCTTTATTCTCTCTCTCTCTCCTAGGGTTGCCAGCTCCAGGTTGGGAAATTCCTGGAGATTTGGGGGAGTGGAGCCTGGGGTTTGGGAAGGGAAGGGACTTCAATGCCATAGAGTCCACCCTCCAAAGCAGCCATTTTCTCCAGGTGAACTGATCTCTGTCACCTGGAGATACCAGGAGATCTCCAGCCACCACCTGGAGGTTGGCAACCCTATTCAGTCCTCTATCCTGGTATATGTGGAGCTGACCCAGCTGAGCTCTGAGAAGCACCAGGAGATAAAGCTGCTAGAGGGGTGAGTGTTTTTTATTTGCTTTCAGCTGAGGTGGTTTAGCTGAGGGTACTGTGGGGGGGATTGTGTTTGGGAGTATGTGGGAGAGTTGTGACTTGTTGCAGAGTCCTGGCTGCTTGAGATAGGGTGAGAAAGGGTAATTGTTTGTCTGTAATTGATTGCCTGGGTGAATTTGAATAGCTGCTGGCCATGCCCTCTGGTGGGGGAGGCTTCTATTTAAGGCAGCACCTCGCCAGAGGCATGAGCCTCTGCCACGAGGGACTCTTAGACTATGGACTCTGTTAGAAGCCCAGGAAGAGCCAGAAAGCCAGGGCCCTAATCTCCTTGGGTTCAAAGTAAGGGAAGTAGACTTCTACAAGAAAAACCACATAAATACAAAGGGTTTTAAAAGGAGGATTATATATAATTATTATTTTAAAAGCAATTATGAAGCCAGAATGCCAGCCGGGGGTTGGGTGCTATCCAGTGTTTTGCATTGAGTGTCACATGTA